GTTGGATTCTCAGAGGGTGGCTTCTCTCCAGAGGGAAGCCTCAGCTTGGCCACCCTGGCAGAATGACACAGAATGACACAGAGAGGTGGAATGTACAACACCCCAAGCAGCTTGCCTAGTGGAGAGTAGAGCCATCCCCAGGGCATGCAAAGGAAGAGGTGGTAGCAACTGCTCATCCCATGTGGCAGGAATTCTCTGAGGCAGGGCCAGAGTCCTGGATATGTAAACAGTGCCCACAACTGGGCTCCTGCTCTCACCTGGGCCTCAAATTCACCTTTTCTTGAATTTGGGCACAGTGCCTAGAAAATTGTAACCCATGCTTTTTGGAGGATTCCATCCTCATCAGGACTCTGATCTGGCAGGGACTGCAGGAGGGACCCTGATCAAAAACCTCAGAATGCAGTGTTCACCTTAACAGAGTGTGAGATCCTGCAGCCCTCCACATCCAGGAGAATAGAACCTGAGACTGAGCCATATCCCTCAGCAGTCTTTCTCCCTTTTAAGGAGATCAGCTTATGGGAGGGAGCAGGATGCTTCCAGAACTCATTCTGTGTCAGTGATGAGGCTGATGTTGGCCAAAGGTGCTTTACAGAGCATCAGCCTCATTCCATGGAGTGCTCACAAGATTCTTAAGCGTTCTTGCAGCAGAGTTCAGATCCTCTGAGCCTGACTTTGAGATCTTTCCAGCATTCCCGTCTTTGTTAGCAGTCAGCTCCTTCAAATTGTGTTCCCTGAACCTTAGAGTCCTGGCACCATGAAGAATATGAGCCATGGCAAAGGGATATCGTCTTTGGTTTGGTCAACCTTGCTTGCACTGTTCTGTATGCTGTGATACATTGATTGCCACTTGTGAATTGGAGGAGAGACTTTAACGAGCTACTGAATTAGGTCTTACCCAGCAGAAAGGTTTTGGGAGACGAGGGCACTTCTCAGAGCTCAATGGCCACTTGCTGACAGTCTAGGTGGTGAAAGAAATGGGTGTCCTCCAATGGGGAACTGGAGGAAAACAAGAGGTGAACTAGTATGCCCTAGGAAAAGAGAAGCATGTCACAGGAGTTTTTAATTAAGCAAGAAAAGCAAAGCTTAAGTTCCTGTGGGTGGAGGCAGGCAGAAGGGTAGGGCATTAGTGAAAGGCAGGGGTGATTTACTTTGTAATGATTGACTTAAGGGCACTGTCCTACCCAATGGTATGCAGAGTGACAGGTGGCCTGGTGATAAGAAAAGGAATAAATTGACAAAGGAGGTACAGGGTGTGGACAGTCCACTGTTGTGGGCCTCTGGGGAGATGGACACTGGACTCTCAGGGCTGCTGCTCCTGCTCTGTGCCCTGCCCTGGGCTGAAGGTGGGAAGGTGCTGGTGTTTCCAATGGAGGGCAGCCACTGGCTGAGCATGAGGGATGTCACCAAGGAGCTCCATGCCCGAGGCCACCAGATTGTGGTCCTGGCTCCAGATGTGACTCTTCACATCAAAGGAGAAGACTTCTTCACCCTCAAAACCTATGCCTTTCCGTACACCAATGAAGAATATCAGGAAAAAGTACTGGGAAATGCAAAGAAGGCCTTTGAAATACAACATACTGTGAAGTTGTTTTTTGAAAGTGTGGCAGCTCTAAGAAATTTTTCAGAACTCTATGCAAATTCTTGTGTAGCGCTACTGTACAATAAGACTCTGATCCAGCAACTGAATTCCAGTTCCTTCGATGTGATCTTAACGGACCCCATTTTTCCCTGTGGGGCAGTGCTGGCCAAGTACCTACAGATTCCTGCTGTGTTTTTTCTGCGCTCCATTCCCTGTGACATAGACTATGAGGCCACACAGTGTCCAAACCCTTCTTCATATGTTCCAAGGCTGCTCACAACACTTTCTGACCACATGAGCTTCCTGCAAAGAGTCAAGAACATGCTGTACCCTCTGACCTTGAAGTACATTTGCCATATCTCATTCTCTCCCTATGAAAGTCTTGCCTCTGAGCTTTTGCAGAGAGAGGTGTCCTTGGTGGAGGTTCTCAGCCATGCATCAGTGTGGCTGTTCCGAGGGGACTTTGTGTTCGACTACCCCAGGCCCATCATGCCTAACATGGTCTTCATTGGGGGTGTAAACTGTGCCAACAGGAAGCCACTCCATCAGGTCTGTATTCTGCCATTATCACAATAATTTTCCAGGAAAAATATTTTTTTTTACTTTCAAGTGCTTATTTATTCATCTCTCCAAAGTTATCTATCTTTCTTTTTCTAAGAGGCTTTGGTAAAATTCATCTATTAAGGTGCTCAAGGTGCTATGCTTCAGGTTTTCAGAGGCCACTGTCAGGACTGAGGGGCTAAAGTGGTACTCTGTTGGGACTGCCCATCTAGACACTTTTTCTATTGGTGAGTATCCTGATTCTGCACAGGAACTGAGAAACTGAGCTGTGGCCTGACCCATCAGAGGGTGTGTTGCTTTCAGATTTTTTGGGGGTTAAAGGAATCAGTGAATGTCAGTTGTTGGTGTGGCAGTTTTTAATAATGCTCTCAGGGATGAAATGGGTGTGTGTTCACAGGATGCTTGAGCACTCAACAGACCCGGAAGCAAGCTAATGAGTAGTTTATGGGATCAATTGGACCAGCCACAAATCAAATGCTTGATAGTCTATGTGTAACTGAGCAGCCTCTGTATGACTGTACATCTTCCATGATAAAACTAAATTGTCTGTTTTCAAATTTTAGAAAACTAAAAGAAAAATAGTCTAGAGAAGTCTATCTTAACAAAACTTTTTACTTTATCATAGGGTAGAGGTGGAGAGTAAGTTGTACATTTAGTCCTGAGGCTACTGGCTACTTCCCAGTCCAGTCAGCTTGTCTGACAGTAATTGAAACTATACTAAATGGTTTAATGAAGATTTAAGGAAGTTAAATGAATCTGTATTTAATGAGAAAACCTGTGTGCTGGGTCAGGTCTGTAATCCTAGCACTTCGGAAGCTGAGACAGGGTTATGAGTCCAAGTCCATCCTTGGCTACATAATGAGAGCCTGAACTGGGATACACAGTGAGAGCCCGAGAGGGGAGGAGGGAAAGAAGAGGAGGAAGGGAGGAGAGAGAGAAGAGGGGTTAGGAGAAAGAAGGAATGAGGAAGATGAGAGTGAGTAGGGGAAAGAGGAGAAAGAACTGATAAACATGGGGAACTGGAAATTCTGGAAACATAAGCTGATAAAATGGAGAAGGTACCTTTCTTCCAGTTTGGAGGCTGCAGTATAAAATCAAAGGGAAGGTGGTTATTTAAAGACAGAATAATTTCTTCCAAATGCTTTCAGCCATGTCACAAAGCCAAGCCCAAAAGAGCCGTGTGTGAACCTCCAGCCACTGTGACTGGCTTTTTGAATTCTTGACCCTGTTTTAGGTGCAACAGGGCCTCCTAGTCATCTGGGCCTTACAGTGCATTTCTCTTCCTTGCCTGCTGCATTCTGGAAAATTCTCCCAGTAGTTCCATGAAGGGATCCCCTGTAGTGGATTGGAATGCTTTAAAAATATTAGATGAGAAGTGCATGTGTGTCAAGGTGCTCATGTGGAGGTCAAGAACAATTTCAACTTCCGGTTGCTGGTTCTCTCCTCCCACCATAGGTCCCAAGGATCAAAGTCAAGTTGCCAGGCTTGTGCAGGAAGTGCTCTTATAAGTCCACTGGTGGATTCAAGAGGCTCCCCTTTGCACAGGAAATGCCTTTTGACCACTATGACAAGCCTTCCCTAAAAGAGGACCTTCCACAGGGATGTCTGCAGAAGTCTTTTGAGACTGAGCAATTTTTGAAGAGATTTTCAAGCTTGACAATTTATTAAAATGTTTTTTATAGTTGGGTCTGGTGGCACATGCTGTGAATTCTTACACTTGGGAAGCAGAGTAGATTTCTGTGAATTCAAGACCAGTCTGGCCTACATAATAAGTTCCAGTCCAGCCAGGAACTTTCCATTTACAGCTCCATTAATCTAGGATATATGAATACTGATTCTTCTTTTTGCTCTCAACTATTAAAACTAGCCAAAGCTGAAGATCTATGACCTCTGAGTGACATCCTATGCCAGGCTCTTTGCCTACCATGGTCTTTTTTCCACTGTGTGGTTTCAGACTCACTCATTCCATTCTACCCTGGGTACTGATTTCCACATTTAACCATCACAGAACTGTACATTTGTTATCCCCAAATCCTTAATACTTCCTACCAGTTCAGATACAAACCCACACTAACATTCTACTCAGTGTCTTTCCCTCCTGCTTTCTTTTTTTTTTTTTTTTTTTTTTTTTTGGTTTTTCGAGACAGGGTTTCTCTGTGTAGCTTTGCACCTTTCCTGGAACTCACTTGGTAGCCCAGGCTGGCCTCGAACTCACAGAGATCCGCCTGGCTCTTCCTCCCGAGTGCTGGGATTAAAGGCATGCGCCACCACCGCCCGGCTCCCTCCTGTTTTTATGTGGTCTGCATATGTGTCTGCATATTTTGCATGTGTGTGTGTGTGTGTGTGTGTGTGTGTGTGTGTGTGAGCACATGAAGAGGTCTAAGGCAGATGTCAGGAATCAGCCTCCATTATTTGTCTACCTTATCCAAGGGTCTCTCAAAAAAAAAAAATCCAGAGTTTGCCAATATGGCTCATCATGCTAGCCAGCTTGCTCTGGGGATCCCATGCCTCTGCCTTCTGAGGACTACCACATACACCAGACCTTATGTGGGTTTCTGGGGATGATTACCTAGTAAGCACCAAAACCCCTGGGCCATCTCCCCAGCCCTCAGTCACTGTCTTCATTAGCTCCCTAGGCTGAAGAAAACATTTGTTTCAAAGTCTGGTAGTTGGTCTGATTTGGGCACTTGTTATTGTTATAAAGCAGCTGTGATTTCTAAAGGCTCTGTGCACCCCGGGGGACAGTGCTGAATCTCGTGTTTCTGCTGTGTATTGTACATATATGTCCCAGCATGAGGTTACACTAGGGGGAGTATGGGTATCCAGCTTATTTTCATGTAGTCTTAGTTTATAATAATGTGCTTAGGTCCCATGACCTCTTGGCAGAGAATTACAAAGTGTGGCAATTTAAACCTATTCAGATCCCTTTTGCTTCCATGTCTTATGAGTCTTCACTGATGACATTGGAGTGAGGTAGAACACTGTGTGGTGTACTCTCTAAAGGCAACCATCTTCTGCAAGGTTTGAATAGGAAGCACCCAACTGAGCTAACAGAATGGACTCTATTGTTACATACATAGTTACATATATATTACATATTGCAATCGAGAACCTTGTTTAGCCTTCAAAAAGTACTTCTATTCACTTCCAGAATCTTCCACTGTTGTAGAACAAATTTAGGGCTGAGCACTAACCAGCTGTGAAACTTTGACTGATAAATGCAGCCCTAAACATTCAGAGACCATGGTCCTGGGAATCCTTTTTGCCCATTGAAATGGATTTCAGATTCCTAGCCTACAAAACTTGGGAAGAATAAATGTGATAGACATTACCAAGTTCATGGTAATTCATTGCAGCAGGGACCAGAATCTACCTAGTGCACTTTTTCAATGTAACTCCTTTCAAAAGCTTAGTTTTAACCTTTCGTTTTAAACAGTAGTCAATTGTGCCTATATCACCATCATTTTAGGCAAGCTAAAAGCTACTTTTTCCAATTTACTTTAAACTAGATAATTAGCATATGCATATCTTTCACCACAGTGTGAGTGTGGGGAAGTGGAGCTATATGGCTACACTTCACAGAAAGCTCGCCAGGTCGAATTGTCAACAAAATGGACATTGTGTGGTTTTAGGTGCTGTGAACAGGGTTTCCTACCACTAGGACAGAACGGTGGTCTGCCTCAGGATTAAGTTTAATGAGTGCCAAAGGCATACAGATATTTACAACAGGCATAAAGACCAAGAGAGATCCTATCCCTGCAGTCCCAACAATAAGAGGCACCGGCACGAACTGTATATAATGTCTTGAATACAGTTGTTCTGAAAGTAGAGTTCCCTTGAAAACGCTTTTAAACAAAAAAGTCCTGATAGTCCTTAAAACACACTTTATGCCTTTACTCAGTATCGATGCGAAGCAACTGCTCTTTGCCGTTAATTATCAGGGATTTTAACTCTCCGTCTTCTTCCACTTCCACTCTTTCTTGGCCATTCTCAACGATTCTCTTGGTGGTGATTTTTCTGCCATTAACTATTTCGGTGGAGGTTGACACCGACTTGAAGTTGCCTGCCGCGCCCCCGCCACAGGACATGGAGAAAGAAGAAACTCCCGAGCTGCCCGGAGAACCGAAGGATGTGAATCCGGTATCTAAGGAAGCAAAGCCACCCCCGAAAGCTGGGAAGTGGGTGAAGGAGGAAGAGAAGGGTACGGCCCCTCGGCTTCGGCTTCCTCGGGTGCTCCTCCGTTCCCCAAAGAAGTTCTCAAACGGGTCTCCGAAGAAGTCGAACGAGAAGGGGTCGCGGCCCCCGAAGAACTCCCTGAAGACCTCGGCGGGGTCTCGGAAGGAGAAGACATACTGGAAGGCGTCCTGGAACGGGCTGCCGGCCGCGCCGCCGCCGCCCACCTCGCCCACCTCGCCGCAGCGGTCGTACACCTCTCGCTTGCGGGCGTCCGAGAGGACCTCGTAGGCCTGCGCCACCTGCTTGAACCGCCTCTCGGCCTCCTCCTTGTGCTCAGGGTTCTTGTCCGGGTGCCACTTGAGCGCTAGCTTACGGTACGCCTTGCGGATGGCCTCGGCCGAGGCCTGCCGCGGCACGCCCAGCACCTCGTAGTAGTCCACCATGGCGGCTGGCCGGCCCGCGGCCTAGGCGCTTCAGCGCGGCTGGTGGCTGCTGAACGCCCGCTTACCCGCCGGCGCCGCCCGCGCGCGCCCTTGTGACGTGGACGCCTCTCATTGGTGGAGGCGGGCGGCGCTTCAGCCTATCAGAATGGGGAGGACTCCAGGGGTTGGTTCCGCTCACAACAACGCCCAGGGATGCTTAGGGTTAGAGATGGGGCTGAGTCCTGCGGTCTTTGTCTTGCTGGTTGGTTTTGTTGGTCTCGTATGAAGGACAAAGGACAACTTAGGGGAGAGGCTGTGATTCTGGCTGCCATAGAAAAGTACTACTTCACTTTTTCCTCCTCCTCTCCCTCCTCCTCCAACTTCTCCTCTTCCTCCTTTCCCTTCTCTGTCTCCTCCCATTTCCCCCTCCTCTTCCTCTTACCCCCTCCTTCCTTGTTTTCTCCTCTTCCTCCTCCCTACCTCTCCTTTTTCTTCATCTCCCTTTCTTCTTCTGCTGCTGCTCTCCCTTCTCTTCTCAGCTGTGTAGATCAAGCTAGTCTTGAACTTCCGGTGATGCCCTGCTGCATCCACATCCTGCGCTGTGGGTTTACAAGTGTGCTTCATAAAGTTGGCTCTTTAAAATGTGTTTCTGTGCCCTGCCCCAAGTCAGCTTTCCTCTAGCTGGGTAAGAAGACAGGGAAGTTGACAGGGGCGGCTTTTGTCTGACTCTGAAGGACAGTGGTTTGTGAAGGACTGAGGTCCTCAAACAGTTTGGCTTCGGAACCCTTTGTTTTCATTTCTATGGCTCTGAGGCCCATTGAGATCACAAGAAAGTAAAGCAGTGAGAAGGGCATATCTATTAGCTGCATGCTGAGATAAATCATGTTCATATGAGGAAATAACTTCTTCAAAAACTCAGAAGAGTGGTGTACGTTTATATTTCTTTAAGTCACTCCAGCTCTGGGCTTAATAGAGCGGGTTTCTCCTGCTTCTGCATTCAATCTACTATGATTTCACACATGGAGTAACCTTTAGAAAACTCTACCATACGCTTATGAGAAAATTAGATCTTTAAAAAGTCAGTATCCCTGTGGGTGGAAATAGTTTTGATGTTGTAAAATTCCCTTGTAAGGTCCTCAGGGTTCCCTAGCTAATACTTGGAGAGCCATTGTTGTCCTGAACAAAATAGTTAGAACTTGTGGGCTGTTTTTGTACCACTGCAGGTGAGATGCTCTTGTTACCACTTGCTGTTGTATCATGACTAAGGGTTTCCTTCTGTCCTTGCTTGATACTTGTGTTGTCTCCACTTCCTTATTTTTTTGAACATTATATTACCTGACTTGATCAGTTGTGAGGCAACACTCATCTATAAAGGTTACTTGGCTCTAAAGGGAAATAGTTAACCAGTGAACTTTTAAAGACTCTATTATGAAGGGCACTAGGTCTAACCAGGAGCGCTAGTGCACCAGAACAGTCATTGGAGTTTTTGTCACACCCAGTGACTGAACTTGAACCTCTAGGCCTGGCACTTGGCAAACATGAAACAGTGATAGAAACCTGATCAGGAGGAAAGGGCAGATGGATTGACTAATCAGAAGAGCTAGAGAGGAGAAATAATCTTCAAAAAGTGGCCCAAGGTCTAAGGAAGGGCAAGGCTAAAGGGTTTGAGTGTTCTTGTGTGCCCAATGAAGCTGTTGACAAAGGCACCAGAAGCAGGGATGGTATGGGATAAGATGGGGACCAACTGATATAGTGAGATAGTTGGAAGGACAGCCTAGGGGCTGAAGCTCTGAAATAGGACCATGGCAGCTGGGTTTAAGAGAATGAGCACTTGGCTTAAGTATTGGGCCTATAGTAAAAGTGGATGAGGTCTGTACAAAGACAATTACTGAGTGCAAAGCTATGGGCTAGCACTTGGGTTGATAGAGTGACTGCAAAGCTGAAAGCCTGTCTTATGAGGAATGTGGCCATTATACATTGTCTAGCACATGGGCAGTTATGTGAGCTTTTAGATGATGAAAGGCAGGACAGAGAAAAATGCTGCAGAGATTCTAGGAAAACTGCCTTTTTCCTCTAGAAGATCCTTAGCTCATCCACAAGGGGATGATGAGCTTATGTGCTCTGTTTAGTATCAATCTTCATTCTTATCCCCTCAAAGGATCTAGATGTCCCACAGATGGGAATACTAACTTCTAGCTCCAGCTTAAAAGGAAATTCCATTTGAAAAATGGGACTTTTCAAAGACATCGCACTCTTCAAGGGTCTCCAAAGTAGGACCACATTGCTGCTCTGTTCTGTTTTCTCAGCCAGCAGAGCACATCTTGTTGTGCCTGTAATTGTTTGGATCCCTCCTTACAGGCACTGACCATTGGTCATTTGTGTTTTGGCTCTGGCACCTAGCATTGCTCCAAGCACAGTTGGATTCACATGCTTCACGCATGTTAGTGAAGAAAGGGATTAACTTTGCATTTGAAATATGTTCAGTCTGCTCATGTTCCAGAGCAGACCTATTGTTGGATTGCTTTGAAGTGATTTTCCTTGTGGGTCATAAGAAATGTAGATTGCCTTGCATTTAGGTCAGTGAACAGTGTTCCTTGGCCAAGGGTAGGGTTGGGGCCCTAACCATTCAGGTCCACAGTGGCTCAGGAAGCTCTGAAGCAGCACACTGTGAGCTTTGCATGTTGCCCTGGGTTCTATCTCTGGCACCATTTAAATGAAAGAGCTCATGGTTCTGAGTAATGACAGGAACAGAAAGTCATAAAAGCATTGTCGTATTTATGGACTCTTTGCTCCATATAAGCTGTAGGTGAGTTCTCACGAAATAGGGCTTCCAAGGGTTACTTATCCTAAAGTTTAACTCCAATTGTGAGCTTTGGAATTTCAGTTAAATGCACAGCAAAAGCAAAGGCATCCCTACATCTTTTCTGCTTACTGAGAAGAGTAATGGAGTGACTGAGTGTGGGGAAGGATTTCAGAGTGCATGTGTGGTGTGTGTGTGTGTGTGTGTGTGTGTGTGTGTGTGTGTGTGTGTCTGTAAAAACACAAACAAAACTGGGATTCTGCTGAGGAAGGTGAAGGTCCAGGAAAAGGGTCCAGGAAAAGCACCTGAATGAGAGGGGTCCTGTCACCTGCACTCCCTAGAACGCCAAAGCTTTACAGTTACGTTGTTTCTCTTGTTGTTCCTGGCACAGCTCCATGCAGGCAGGAACAGCACTGTGGTCAATACTGGGATCTGTGCTTTCTTCCTGAACCCCCAGAAAGAGTACCAGACTGGGTTCTGCCCACAGGCTGGTCGCCCACTTCTGGAGGCATTTCTGTACAACAGCTCTTCCCTGGGTCTCCGAGGGCCTCAGATAGTGCTGTTTGAACACCTCTTTGGGCTCAAAGTCCTCCCTTTTGCCTTTTTTTCCATTCATGACCTGAGGATCACAGTTTTCCATTCAACTTCTAACTAGGGCCTGTGTCTTTCGGCTCTGCCAGGGACTCTGGCAGATGTCTTTGCTTCTGTCAGCCTCAGTGTGTTTGTAAAATGAGGGAAATAACCTTCTGCTTTTGTAGGACAGCTCTACAGGATAAGATGTGTTGCAGAATGCTTAGCTTGACAACACCTGATACATAGTACACACCTGACTTTGTTACCTTCAATTCAATCATCAGAATTTCCCCAGGACCTTGGGCCAGTGTGGTGAGCACAATTGTACTTGTCTAACCAGCTTATCTATTTTGATTTTCTGTTTGAAATATGTTTTCTCACTGTTTCTCTGAGGGAGTGTGGTTCTGCTCTTGGAGAGGACTTCTGCGCATGGACTCATGTGACTTTGCCTTGTCATTCTCTACCCCAGCCTGGTTCCATTCATTTGCACTCTCAATGTGCCTCATTTATTAGCTTTAGCTGTGGGTCTGTCTGTCTTGATAGAGCCTGAGCCCTGGAAAGGCAGGGCACTCCTCTGTGCTGGTCTTAGCTGCAGTCCCTAGACCCAGCACTCTACTAGATTTATTAAGTATGAAGTAAAAACAGCGATAGAGGCCATGGAGATAACTCAGTAAGTGCTCTGCAAGCATAAGGACCTGAGTTCAAGCCCTAGAAGCCACATGAAAATTCTGGACATGATGGGGCATGCTTGTAATCCCAATGTTGAGGAACTAGAGAAATGAAAATTCCTTGGTTCAGTGGCCTCTCAGTTTAGCTTAATTGATAGGGTCTACTCCAATGAAAGAGCCTACTTCAACACAAAATGTATGGCCTCTGGGAGATAACACCCAAGGTCACCCTTTGGACTACATACCACACACAGACAGCCACAGCCACACACAGACAGCCACAGCCACACACACACACACACACACACACACACACACTTTAAAAAGTGATAGAAGTGGTTAAGAGGAATCTCAAGTGAATGATGGTGGACATTCTTAGGGCCTTCATGGACAGAAGTGGAGTTGCAGCACTTTTCAGTTCCTTTCTTTCCAAAAGACTTTCTGAGTAACTTTTTATCCTTGGGAAGGTGGCATGCTATGACACTTCATGGTAACCCTTCCTGATATATGAAAATGCTAATTTAATGAATCCAAATTGGGCAGGGATGGTTTGCTCACTATATGCATTCAAAGGCGTGATTTGAAGAAGGAAATGCAGTCATTTCAACAGTTTCTATCAACATAGACAAACTCACAGCTAAAGCTAAAGCTGTTGCTCATTAAGGAGCCCAGTAAAGCTCCACCCTCTTCCTTTTGAAAAGCAAACATTCTGTGGTCTTTGCAAGTTGACTGCCAGCTTTAGTCATGGGACGCAGTCAAAAATTAACTGGTTGCACAGATTTCTCTTCATGAGTTATGAGCAGACCTGAGTAGACCTTTGACAATAGCAGAGGGAGAGGTACCGTGACTATGGTGTGCTGGGGCTCACATTTGCTTCTGCTTCTCCCGGGCCTTCTGATATGTATGTTTGGCCCCTCTGTGTCCCATGCTGGGAAGCTGCTACTGTTCCCTGTGGATGGCAGCCACTGGCTCAGCATACTTGGAGTTACTCGGCAGCTCCAGCAGAAGGGGCATGAGATAGTGGTTGCAGCACCTGAAGCCTCACTGTA